ATATTCGCGGACGTGCTAGTATGCGTATCAATACTATAATTAGTTTTGATATATTAGTATACTGATAGATTATATAAACAGCTTAGTATACCAACACATTATAATGTATTCGAACAGTAATATGTTTGTATACCTGCATGTTTGTATGCTCTTAGTATATTAATGCATGCGTACGTTCGTGCATGAGTACATTAGTATATTGGTGTGCTATTATCTTCGATTATTAACATATTAGTGTATGAGTATCCTGGTATGCTACTTCATTTATCATATTCGTATATTATCTAACAACTTTTTTGGTATATCCATATGTTAGTATACCATTGCCATGTGTCAGTGTACTTGCATATTACAGTATTCGTGTCTTAGCAAGTTAGCATATCAATACAGTATAATCAGACGTTAACAAGTAGTATATTGTCACGTTGGAAACTGGGTATATGACAAATTAAATACGAATATACTACGTTAGTACACGAATGCATTGATATATTTGCTTTTCAGATAGTGGTATGTATATCTGCGGACATTAATATACGCAGGTGTCTGTTAGTATTGGCATTAATATCAATATGAATATGACTATTGGTACGCGTAGGAGTATTAATGTTAATAATAGAATTAGTAATGTGCATATTCGAAATGAAAGCATTAATATACATGTCAACGTTAGTGTTAAAAGCACTACTCAGTAATCTTACTTGAGTCATATATAGAGCAGATTCCAGCATTTCCAAAATTTCCAAAATTTCCAAAATTCTCTCCCCTAACTTTCCGGATTTCCAAACTTTCCAAAATTTCCAAAATTTCCAAAATTTCCAAACTTTCCAAAATTTCCAAAATTTCCAAAAAGTCCGCCCTTATGTTTTGGAAAAATCCTGTCGACTAGGTCGGGAAATGTTGGAAATGTTGGAAATTTTGGAAATTTGGAAATTTTGGAAATCTGGAAAGTTAGGGGAGAGAATTTTGGAAATTTTGGAAATTTTGGAACTGCTGGAATCTGCTCTATATATGACTCAAGTAAGATTACTGTGTAGTGCTTACTATGTAGTGTGTCAGCACAACCCTCATCCATACACGTGTGCTCTGTAATTCCTTTCTTGGTAGGACACCCGCGCGCCTTATCGTGCTGCTTTCTGGTCTCAGTCTTTTGGTGGTTCCAGGGATACGTTCGGAGGGCTCAAACTCGATACTCCGGAAAAAGCACGAACACGCCGGTGGGAGCGATGTTTTAAAGACGACGGTCTGTCATGGGGGGGGGGGTGACCATATATATATATATATATATATATATATATATATATGTATATGTGTATATATATATATATATGTATATATATATATAAGGCTCAGCAGCAGGGTGCCCCCTGTGTTGGGTTTGGTGTTTTGGGTTCTTGGTTCTTGGCTCTGTGGGCCTTCGGCTTCTTCGGGGTTCTGGCCATTGGCCTGCTCGTGCCATGGATCTTGGTACAAGGAAGTTTTCTGTGATGCGACGAAGCAGTGTGGATGGCGCTATGATTTCCACCAGCACCTGCAACAAGATACCACAGAAGCTGCAGTACCTCGGAGGCCGCGTCGGATGGATGTCACTTGTCAGCTCCTGTCTTTTTGGGCTGCACTGTTTTCCGTGCAGGAACTCGACCCAGGAACTTGCAGCAGGGGGCTGCCTACACCACCTGGGACCCCTCGCAACAACGCTGCCTAGCCTTTGCTTGATCCCAGGTTCGTCGATGGCTACACTTGGTCAGGTCAACAACACAGGCTGGCTGCATTGTGCCGCCCAGCCTTTACAGTCGGTCTTTTGGGCTCATAACCACTCAGGTCCGCTGTGCATGCTGCAAGTCACCCCTGCACTCGAAGCACTCAGCGCCACCAGTGGCTCTTCGCTCCTGCGGAACCGCTGGCACAAAGCTTCAAGCCGGGCCTCAGGACCATCTGCATGCCACGACCTCTGGACTCTACAGCTTAGGGCGTCCGATGACAGGCTCCGCCTTACGCCACTGGCAAAGCAGCTCTTCCGTATGCAGCAAAATCTTACCTCTGCTTCGGACTACACGTACTCGGCCACTGGTAACCGCTGTGCATTCCCAGACCCGCCTTGGACCAAGTCACTCTTGCGGCCTTATCTCCTGGCTTTTGGGACTGGTTTTCGATGAGGTCGCCACGGGACGTTGATCATGCAGCTGGACGCCGCAATATTCAGCTTGAGACTATGGACTAGATCTTGGCTCATGCGTCAGCTCCCACCTGTGACTGCTGGTATAAGAAATGCAGGCTGTTCTTGCACTACATCATGCTCCTGCCTTGTGTTTGCTGCAATTTCGAGAGTTCGAGCAGTGCCTGTTGCAGCACTCTTCCCCTGCCTTCATCGAACCGTAGTCTGTGATCTACCTGCCCAGCCTCTCCCACCAGGCCGGTGCCTCAACCGTGCTCCCCTGCAGACTGCGTTCCGGCCTGGCCGACCAAGGTTCGAGGCCTCCTCGCCTTGGGTCTGGCCCTTGGATCCCAAGCGTCCTGCCTGGTTCGAGGTCCCCTCGCCGGAAGCCCAGCACTCCCTTGCACTTGTCATCGCAATCGACCTGCTCAGGCTCGAGGTCTCCTCGCCGGGGGTCCTATCCTCAGTGCTCGGTGCGGTTTGGCACCACTGCCTCCCAGTCGCTCCGCCTTTCAGGTGGCTCTCTGACTCCATCTGGGAGTGCTCTGGGCGTCCCTGGCCCACGCCTCAAACTGTACTCGGTTCTCAGTCCGTTCTGCACTTGCGTCCGCTGCCAGCGGCCCTGCCTGGGTACTCACTTTACCTCTTGCAGCCTCGGGCTCCGAGTCTAGCTGTATGGTGGGTAGCTGCTGCACCTGTCGGCCATTGCTCTTCTACGACTGGCGACCCTCACTCGCCTCCGGTCTCGAGTTCGGAGAGCACAAATTCAGAGGCTGGGAGCCCGGGAGGTGCGGCCTCCGCGAGCGCGCCTCCAACGAGAAGAGGAGGGCCACCTACAACACGGCCCAAGGGCCCACCGCCATACCCAAAGCAAGAGGAGCGCCATGGCTGGCACAGGCGCGACACCTGGGACTCGGCCCAGTGGACCTCCGGCCCCATCCCCGGCTCCTGCTGCGGTGGTCTCTACAAGCACGACCCGTACCACTACAGTACCACCGGGACCTGCTGCACTGCCTATGGATAGGACCACACCTGGGTTGGCTTCGAATTCCACGGCTGCGGATCACACGTTTCGAGTCACTCCTGCAGGCAGTGTTGTCACCATACCATTGCCGCCAGCTGGCCTGCAATACATCATCACAGTCAGACTTTCCTGCCGAACAGTTTTAGGGCGCCTACTTGCTGCCAACAGCGCTGCTCGGGCGGGCTGCCCGACCTGCGTCCAGGTCTTTCCCGCGCCTGCAAAATGCCTGTGGATCTGCTCTCGCATGTGTGCTATAGTGGTTGCTCAGACATGTCCACTCCTTCATGTCACAGCCTCTGCCTGTCCTACTACTCAGGTCGTGACCTTCCTCGGCTGCAAAGTGTCTGTCTGGACACACTGCATAAGTTCCGGCTGGACCGCGATCCCCCGGCCATGCCCTAAGCTGTCAGCCGCACCGCTGGTCAGTTGCATCCTTTGCCTCATGCCATGCAGCCCTGTTCCTTGGGCCGAACGAGCCTCAATTGCCTCTGTCTTCCGATATTGGCTCAGTTTCTCCCTGAGAGTGTGGTGCGACCCTGCCGGGCCCACTGTCCACATGGCCCTGCGACGGCAAAAGCGCCAGGCTCGGCAACTATCCAGGCCTCGGCCCGAGCAGCGCTCTCCCAGATCTACATCGGGTGGCGTCATCGACCAGGTGGCTTCCACCATTCGATCGGCGATCTCAGCTGGCGAACCGGTGCCAAGGACCTGTCTCAACTTTCACCACGACAGGGATGCTTTGGCTGAAGAAGAGGTTTCGTTTCTACGGTATCTGCGCTGGCGCACACAGCCACCTCCCATCACGGTCTTTTTGAAACATCTCATTAAGACGTTGCGAGCTGACCGCAGCTCGCCTCGCCCTGCGCTGCCGAAGGATGAATCTACTCTCACTGGTGAAGCTGCACCTGCCGATCCACACCCGCGGTTGATCCCCACATCCAAACGCAGACCGGGTATACCCCTTCGGAACGAACACCCACGGCCTCCTCCCGCTGATGTGGCAGCTTCGACGAGAAAGCGGTCTCCTCAACGGTTTTCGGACACTGAGGAGAGCACCATGGAGGTCCATGCAGGGGCTATTCGCCTGCAGTGCGCTCGCAAAACACGGCGCAAGCTGCGCAACCAGCCTGAAGACTTCATTGATCTGGAGGCACCAGCGACTGCTCCCACTGGTACCGACTCATCGCCACCGATGACGTTCATACCGATTCCGGCCGATGATACTGGGACGATGCATAAAACATCCCGGCCCAGCACGGATGATACTTCAGGGCCCTTGAAAGGTCCGGGCGCCCTCATTGAGGCCCTCTTGCAACCTCGCGATGATGGCCCGCTTGACCGCTCCCCTATGTCCATGGAGACTGTGACTGTGGAGTCCCCTGAGCCGGCTGCTCCGGAGATACCCATGCAGCCTCCGTCTCAGGCAGGTGCACACGACGATGCGGCGTCACTGGTGCCACGGACTGCTGTCGCAGCTGCTCTTGATGAGCCAGCAAACGCTGGTCCGACCGCTGACCCAGCTCCTGAGCGGCCCTCTGGCTCACTACAGGGCCACCGCACCAGGACCAAGGCCAAGCACAAGCAGACGCATTCCAGGCCAAGACCGAGCAAGCGGACCCCTGGCAAAGCTGCATCGAGCTCTTCCATCAGATCAACGGCTAGGCGACTGGATGCATCGGTTCACGACCCGGACCACGTTCCAGACCCAGCACTTAGGCCGAAGACTCGCAGCATATGGTTTGTACAGCCGGAAACTGATGCGAGCACAGGGCAAAGCCTGGACAACGAGCGAGTGGATGCATATACTGCTGCGCTGCAAGGGCCATCGCGCACTCGTGCCGAGGGACGAGGTACGACAGTGTATGCTAGCGCTAGTATCCCTTTGGGAAACATCGAAGGTGTTTCGCTAGAAAACGTCGAAGGGGTTTTCCTCTGAAGCTAAACAGAACGAAGCTTGTCTGTTTGCTAGAGTGTCTGCACATGGCCGGTGAAGCAGTGCTACTCCGTGGCCATTGTGCTGAAAGGCCCCCAGCTACTGGGGGGCAAATTTCGAGTGCGGGTAGGAAAGGGAACAGGGCTAATTAGCCCTGCTTTGGGTGCGCTGCCATGTCGGACAGCGACGCTACCCTGGCGCCGACCACGCCAGATGGCGCAGCAGCTACAGCCGTCGACTGCGCTACAGTGGTTGGGGATTCCCCGCCCCCGCTAAGTGGGTCGTGTCCTACCGAGGTACCCACGCTAGGGGGGGACGACACCGCGGGGGCTCCCTCCGGGGAGGTACCCTCGTGGGTCCCGCAGACCCCAGCTAGTGACCCACAGCCCGAGGAGACGGGACTACTCTTCGAGGGTTGGGAGATGGAGGCAGAGCTAGAAGCGCAGGCTACGGTCCAGCAGGAACGTAGGCGCACGCTAGATAGGGCCTACCGGCATCTCACCAGCCAGGGGTTTGGGGTCTTGGAGCTAGCGGTGGTGGACCTGGACGACGCAGAGGACGTTGCCAAGCAGCTAGCACGAGAGCTAGGTATCCCATACCAGCCGTGGCTATGGGATGGCGTTTACTGCTGGCTACAGGAAGCACGGCAGGAAGCTACGATCTATCAGAGGGTGCACGGCTACTTCCAGGACGATATCACCTGGAGAGCCCGGATGCCACCGCTACCGACCCCAAGGGAAGAGGTCGAAGAGGCGGTGCCTCAACCACCCGCGCCGCTAAGACCTCCTCCCGGGGAGCGGAACCGAAAGACGCTACAGCCCAGCACGATCAGTGCAGCTAGAGAGGAGCGACTGCTAGACGTTTGGGCAAGGAAGCTCCGTGAGGAGCTGCTAGAGATACATGCCCCGGTTCTCGCTAAGCTGCACGGGAGCCTGGACCCCGCGAGGGCAGCTATGTTGCTTCCCGGGAAAACCCGAGCTTCCACCTTGAAGCGCTACCTGAGCTACTACAGGCAGTGGCGCCAGTGGCTCCACGCAGCTAAGCTCAGGCCGCCTCCGGGCACCGCCGCGGACCTGGTGGATTACCTCCTCGCTAGGAGTGATGAACCCTGCGGCCGGTCAGTCCCTGAAGCTATTCTTAAGGCTATCTCTTGGGTGGAGAAGGTGGCCGACTTCCCGGTGGAGCTACGGACCACCTTTGGTCGCCTGGTTTGGGCCGCTAAGGATAGCATAGTGGAGCAGCTAGCGGAGGGCGCCCCCCTGATCAAGAGAGCGCCCCGCTACCCTGTCTACATGCTGGTGCAGCTAGAGCTCGTGGTCATCAACCCCGCCCTGGCAGCAGGCTGGCGGATCTGGGCCTGGGCTAAGTTGGTCAAGGTTTGGGCCACGCTAAGATGGTCGGACCTCCAGGCTATCTTGCCGGCCGAGCTAGTGATGGTGGAGGGGCGACTCACCACCATCCTCCGGAAGACCAAGACGTCCGGCGCTACGAGGAGGGTCAAGGAGCTACCGGTCGTGGTGTCCGAGCACGCCTTTCTGGTCGCTAAGAGCTGGCTGGTGACCGGCTTCGACCTCCTCAAGGCCCACGCTAACTACGCCCGGGACTACCTCATGCCGCGGCTGGGCCGGGCGGGGCAGCTAGAGAAGAAGATGGCTACCTATGCGGACGCTATGGTGGCAACCGCGGGGCTGCTGGCTATCATGGGCTACCCGCGGGAGGTCCAGGGCTATTGGACGGAGCACAGTGAGCGCTCAGTGCTACCAACAGGGTTGGCGCTAAAGGAGATCCCCCCGCAAGATAAGGATCTGCTAGGGCGTTGGAAACCCGAGGGGTCCGACGTGTACGCTAGATCCTTTGCGGGTCGGGTGTCCCGTCTCCAAGCTCTCTTCGCTAAGACAGCTAGGGGGGACGACCGCTACGAGGCGCTCGACGAGCGTGAAATCGCCGCGGATCTGGAGCCCTGGCTGGAAGAGAGGGCCAAGCTAACCCACAGCCAGGCTATCCACATGGCGGCGAGGCTGCGGAAGATCTGGATGGAGGGCCTGCTAGGAGTCCCGACAGAGGCGGAAGAGCTAGAAGTTCCCGAGGGGCCCGAAGAGCCAGTGGAACCGCTAGCGCCCGGGAGTAGCTCCGAGGCCTCTGCAGAGGTCGTGGAACGGCCCGCTAAGAAGCAGGCCAGGGTTCCCGACCGCAGCCAGGGCAGCTATGTAATCGTAGAGGTCCCGGGTGCCATTTTCCGCCTGCACAAGGCGGGCGCTACAGGTTGCTGGATGGGAAAGCGACGTGCTTTCCGCAACGCTAGGGTTTTCAATTCGGTTCCGGAGCCGCATGAGTACACACATGTGTGCAAGCTATGCTGGCCGAACCAAGGGGCTATCTCCGAAGGGGACGCTAGCGAAGGATCGCTCGCTAACTCGGAAGATGACGAAGCCCCAGAGGATCACGCAACGGGGTCCGCTAGCAGTCATCCTTGAGCGCAGGGCGTGCTAAGCCGCCGAACTCGCACTCGCACTGAGGCTAGAAAGGCTGCTAGGTCGGCACCCTCTTTTCCTTTCCCCTCTGTCTCCCTCTCTCTCTCTCTCTTCCCTCCCTTGCGAAACGCCGCTAGTTTTTAAAGGGGGTGTGCTCGGGGGGGGGGGGGGGGGGGGGGGGGGGGGGGGGGGGGGGGGGGGGGGGGGGGGGGGGGGGAGGGGAGAAAGAAGAGAGTGGAGGGAACCACGTTCTTGCTACATGTCACTTGCTGTGTTGCTTGTGTTGTGCCTTCGTGTTCCGCTAGTGCGCTGTAGGAGGAGCAAGGAGCGAAGGCAGGCGCTAGGAAACCGGGGCCGGGGGACCCCTTCGCTGGCCACCCAGGGAACACAGGAGCTAGGAGAGGAGCCAGTGTCTGCGCTAGGTCCGTCCTGCAGGAAGGAGCTAAGGAGCGGAGGAAGGCGCTACGAAACGTGCGGGTTTGGACCCCGCTAGGCAACAGGGCAACAAAGGAGCTAGGCGCAGGAGCCAGTGACTGTGCTAAACCTCTCTCCACGCTAGCCCTCGGCTTCGCTACCCTAAGGTAGCTAGATTTCAATAGTCGTTTCACCTGATCCGCGCCGTGGGCGCCGCTATGGGTGGCAAAGGAAAGGATGCCACTGCTACAACGCCTAAGGGCGCGGGGCCACCAGGTGGTCCAGCTACGGCAGAACAGCCCGCTAGTGGAGACTACCTTCCGGAGACCCTCCGCGGTCTTCGGAAGGCGCTAAGGTTTCGCCCTTCAGAGTGCACGGATGGGCTGCACCGCTATCTCGACAAGCCTCTGCTACAGGAGCTGATCGCTATGTCGCAGGAGGCGATCGAGAGGCTAGACAAAGAGTCCCCGCCACGAAAGTGGATAGGGGCCGGGCTACGCCAGCAGAGCCCCGCTAACCTGATGGAGCGGCGGGTTCTGTCCGCTACCAGCTGGGCCGACTTGTCCCAAGAGGACATCGCTAGCCTGGACGAGGCTATGTCTGCGGGCCTCACGCAAAGGTTCGCCGCTACAGAGGCCGCCGCGGCAGCAACAAAGGCCCAGCTAGACCAGCTTGCTGCTGCTAATGCAGCCGCTAGCGCTGCTAAGGCCAAGGCCCGCAGAGACGCGGAGGCCGCAGCCGCTAAGGAGAAGGCCGAGCACGACCAGAGGGTCGCAGCGGCCGCGCTAGCAGAGAAGCGGAAGGAAGCCGCGGAGCGGCTCGCTAAGGAGGAGCAGGCTGCCGAGCTGGAGTACCAGCAGGCGGTGGCCGCTAGCAAAGCCTCCCTGCAGGCCGCTAACAGAGATCCGACTGCTACGGGCAGCGCCGATCCTGCGCCTGCTGCCGCTACTGCAGCCGCTACGGCAGCCCCTGCTGCCACAGCTGCAGCCGCTACCGTGGACCCGACGCCGGCAGAGTCGGCCGCTAGAAGGTTCATGGAGATGGGGCCGAGAGCCGCTAGCCCCTCGCCCCCTCGCGCTACCAGCCCGGGCCGGGGCCGCAAGGGCGCTAAGGGCAGGCCGGCCGAGGGCAAAGACGGCAAGGGCCAGCCGCCCGCTACTGTCAATGTGTTTGACTACACGTGGGGCACGCTATTCGAGGACCCCGACCGCTACCTGGAGTTGCTACGCCGCGAACTCCAGCAGGATCGCGCTATCCAGCAAGCGGGGGGCATGCCCGACAATGTCAGGGCCGCTAAGGGCACGCCAGTGAGCGTCGCGCTACAGGGCAGAGCGCGGCCCCCTCCGGGCGCCCACGCTAACAGTCTCCCCAGAGGGGAGAGCTACTGGTACCTCGAGCTCTCGTGGTCCGCTATTGACCGCGATCTGTGGCCGCTAGGTTCCTGGGACCAGCGCTTCGAGAAGGGGAAGGGCAGAGGACCCAACCCCCGCTATGGCAAAGGCTATGATGGCACGCTAGTCAAGGGTGCTATCCACCACAGGGAGGAGCTGTACTCGCTAGGGAGAGAGGACGTGGCACTGATGTGTCGCTACACGCACCCTCCCGCTAACACGCCCCAAGGGGAGCGCGCTAGCGAGCTACTTTCCATGCTGCTACCTAGCTGCTATACGCAGTACCAGCCGAATCGCTGCCGCTACTCCCTTGGCCACTGGGACGCTAACGCCTGTATTTTCAGGTGCGCTACGACCTGCGAGGTCTGTTCGCTAAGAGCCTGTAACAGGCGGATGTGGTTTAAGTGTGACGACCACGCTACTCACTGTTGTGATGGGTGCAAGCAGTGGAGCCGCGGGGAGGATTGGGGCGGCCGCTAAACAGGCAGCCCCCTGCCTCGCTACAGGCCCCGGCCTCGCTACGTGCACCCGCTACTTTTGTCTTGCATGTGGCTACTTTTGCAGCGCCCTCTGCTGCCGACCGCTAGCCGCAGCAAAAGTCAGGGGCGTCCC